AGGCAGAGCCAGGCGGATCTCTGTGAGTTCGAGGCCAGCCTGGTCTACAGAGAAAGATCCAGGACAGGAACCAAAACTACATGGAGAAACCCTGTTTCAAAAAGCCAAAACAACAACAACAACAAAAAAACAAACAAAAAAACAAAAACTATATAATAAAGAAATACATTTTTAAATCATTGGTCTCATAGGACCCATGGCATCATAATGATCTGGATTTAAAAAGATAAGGCAAGAACCCCTGAGCAAAATATATAATGCAAGCACAAATACACAATATAATTTTGTGGTCACAAAAACCCAACAAAAAAATTAACCACAAATCATGGAACATACCTGGCAGATTCTACCATTCTACAGGTGTACTATGTGGAAGGGCTTAGTTTGAAGACCCAAGGCAGTTCATAAATTAACTCAAGCAACTCCAGAGAAATGACCATTTCCAAATGCTCCTTAAGTGGCACCATGACTTTGAAGACTGCTTTACTGAGTCCCTGGTGTCAGGAACATGCTAGGCGCTGGATACCAGTCATGTCACACAGAGTCCTTGTTTCGGTAATGCCACAGAGAGGAAATTAAGCTCATTAAATGCGAGTTTGAAATATTTTGTGGTGATATTTTATTTGTGCTCTAATAAATAAAGCTTACTTGGAGATCAGAGGAAAAAGCCAGTCACTATATTAAACATAGAGGTCAGGCAATAGTAGCACATGCCTTTAATCCTATCATTGGGGAGGCAGAGATTCATCTGGATCTCTGTGAGTTCAAGGCCATACTGGTAGTAAGGCCTTTAAATTCCAACAGTAGTCAACCATAGAGGTCTGGAGGTCTGTATAGACAGACAGGAAGTAATAGAGCTAGGCAGAAAGAGGAAAGTGATGTAGCTGGGCTGAGAGGAAGTAAGAGGGCAGGGACAGAAAGGCATATAGGCATTGGTATACAGGAAGTAGGTCTCTTTGGAGGCTGAGGAGCTGGTAAGGTGAGGTTGGCTGTGGCTTGTCCTATTCCTCTGGTCTCTCAGTTTTTACCCCAATATCTGGCTCCGTGTTTTTTTATTAATAAGACCATTTAGCAATTCGTCTTATATATTTTTAGTTTTCACTTATTCTTTGCTTATAATAAGGACTTCAAAGAAGAGATAGTAATTTTTCTATCTTCCAATGAAATCCAACATTATACTTAGCACATTATATTGTTTCAGAGCTTAGCCCCTAATATGTAGTTCAGTAGATTGTAGAGGCTCCTACTATAGCCTTACAGTTTGTGTTGATTTGATGCAGTGATCCTCAACCTTCCTAATACTGAGACCCTTTAATACCCCTCCTCATGATGTGGTGACCCCCAACCATAAAATCATTTTTGGTGATACTTCATAGCTGTAATTTTGCTACTGTCACAAATTATCATGTAAATATTTTTGGAGATAGAGGTTTGCCAAAGGGGTGGTGACCCCAAGGTTGAGAAGGGTTGATTTAAGGACTTCCCATGGACTCCATTACAAAGGTAAAGCCCACTGAAGCACGTCGACTTCAGTTCTTGACCGTTTTCCGACACAGCTTGAGTTACTTTGCCCGATTTTTCTGTCAGGTCACCTCAAGCTTTCAACTCACTCCTCTCCACACACGACCCTGCTGCTCGGCTTGAGAGACTGTGAGACACGAATCCCATCTTTCCACTGCAGCATCTCTCCTATCTACCACTGACAGGAGGAGATATTCATCTCCAGCTGGCAGGCACATCTCCTCACCTCCTCAGAGAAGCCCTGTGCTTCTGCTCTTCCTGCCTCAGACTGACCTTACATGGCACCTGTGTTACACAGTCTCTCCCTTGTTGGTTCTTTTTCACAAGGCTCCAAAGCCTCCTCTGTGAACCATCCTTTCTTCCAAAACTATAATCCTGCCCCATTTTTTCCTGCCTCCTCCGTTCGAACTGTAGCCCCTAAACCGATGATTCGACATCACTCAAAAACTTGTCAGAACTGTAAAGTTTCAGAGTTCACCCAGATACTGTAAGGCGGCTCTGGAAGTGAGGCCTAATGATTTGATGATTGGTAGCCCCCTTCCTGTAACAGTGGGACCGTGAATGCATAGAAAGGTTTTGGAGCCACCCCATGAAGTCACATTGCTCCTATGTTCCCTTCCCATTGGTTTCTTCACAGCTGTGGAATAGGGACAGCATCTTGTTGAAGTTCTCTTTTCTACAGCGACTCCAAACTCTTAGCCTGGTTCTCCTCTGTGCTCTCCGATCACACTTTAACAATCCCTGTCACTTGGCATCTCCGCATACCCAGTCACAAAAATGTTGCTGAAGTTAACAGTGTCTCCAAAACCTCACCGGCTTCACTGCATATTCTCCAGAACCATGGTCTTTATGTGATCTAAGATGTCCGCGTCCACCCAGCACTCAAGTCGGGAATTTCTCAATGATGTTCTTCTCCTACACTCTACATTCGCGTATTCAATCATTAAACAAACCTCAACAGTTCTAAAACCTGTCACTGGCCCTCACCTTAGGACACTGTCAGAATACTCATCTTTCAGATGACAGCAGCCTGCCTGCTCACAGTGTCTCTTTTGAGTATTCCCTCCTAAACATTTCTAGATATTCTCTGAAAGGCTAAGCATGAGTATATGAGCATGCCATGCCTTTCAAAGGGAGAAGAAGATTAAAATCAAAACACCCAAGCCTGAAGGCTTCCCCCTGCATGAGGCTGCTGCCAACCATCCCGAGAGCGCACGGGGAGCTGGTATTTCAGTCAACCTGCCCTTTCTGTCTCTTCTCACCTTTCCCCCCACTGTCAACCATTTTCTTAATCTAGACACTGTTCATTATTTTCTTCTTTTACAACCTCGGCCAACACTGTTTTCTCAGCCTGAAATAGCTTGTTGATAGCTACACATTCTTCATTTGTCTAAAAAGCATGCGGGGTGTTATGGATTCCGGTAGAAGCAATAAAGCACACTACAGACAACATGAGCTCATATACTCTATCTATACAAACATGGCTTCTTATCGGAACTTGAAAACCACCACCATGCAAGCATGGCTCTGTAACAAGTCAGAAATTCAGATTTTTAATGTTTCTCAATTTTAAAGGTCTGCAGCAAATATTTGAAAATCGAATCACTCCTGTGTACCACCGAGCAGCCACCAAAAAAATGCTTGTGCCGGTGTTGTTTAACACTTTTCTCTGAGATCACAACATTCCATCCTGCAGGGGAGTGCCTTAAACAGGTAGCTACATCCCTAAAAATCAGACTGAGGAGGGCCCAGGTACTAACTAGATCCACGAGGCCCTTCCTTCCCCAACAGAGTATATGGAGCCCAGTTACAAAAAAGACGCCAGAATATAAGCTCAGCTTCAAAAGAGACCAGACCAGCTGTGTAGAAGAAGCAGAAACCAGCCGAGCTGCCTAGAAGAGGGTTAGACATTGGAGGCACCTGGAAAGGGCATTCTCCAACCTGCTGAGCTGCCTGCAGGCTGTACCCTGTGCTCCAGGTTCCCAGCTGTGGTGAGCTGTCACGCATGCTGGGGTGGCCTCGGTAATGCAGCTGTCTTTGAGTCATTTCTGCTCCTGTAAATGACCCCTCACCCATATTCCTTAAGTAACCCCAAGAGAGCTCATTGGTCAACCAAGTTAGACTATGGTGGTATCTGCGCTTTGATCTGTTGTGGGCTGCCTATCTGGGGTGAGTAGATGAGTGTGTTTTGTCTCCCCAGGAAAAGTTTTGTCACATAGCAGTAGGCTGTCAATGTGGACTTTGATCTCATTTCTAGGTGTCCAAAGCTGGCCAAGGCAGGGCCTCTGACCTACTGGCTTACCTGTGCACGTCACATGGATTGCATGCTGGCACAGGCAGAGGGAAATGACCCTAACTCAGCTCTCACGACACTCCACTTATATGTCACCTGCCACAGCATAACTTGTAGCTAATTGCTTACTCATTTCAATCACCAGTCCCACAGGGGCATGGCCATCTTCTCTAAATATTGGCAGCACCAGTGAACTGCCTGGCAGTTTAAGTAAGTGTTCCACGGGCCTGCACAGAGATGCCCGTGTTCCACCTGATTCCAAACTCTAAGGTCACTTGATATTTTTCCCTTCCTAACCAGAAAATGTACTTTGATTAAATGTCATCATGTAAGCTCTATTCTGATAAAAGAACTTGTCTCCCCCTCCTCTTCCCTTCTTCTGCTTTAAGACTAGGTTTGGACAAGGGTCTTGTGTGTGCTGGGTAAATGCTCTACCACTGGATCATATTTCAGCTATGTGCTATGACTCTAACTGTATGTATATATGTAGCATATATACATGTTTTACAAGTTATTACAAAATATTGATTACAGAAAAGTATTCTTGGCAATTTCATTACATTATTTTAGTCTAAGGGATTTTTTTCACTTTGGAAAATAAGAAAAATATACTCATTTGTTCCATTTGATAATTTCAGGATGCAACATTTTCCCATTTAACCAAAGCACTAAGAAGCACTGATAGCTTTTAGTCATACTACCCAAGCATATTTGTAAAATTAATTTAAACTTGCCATTACTGGACTCAAGAAAGGGTCAAATCATTTTTTTAGTCACTGAAATATTCTTATATCTAAACATTAGGATTTAAGAGGAAATTGTTTAAACATCCATTTCACTGCTTCGTTGACCTAATGTCTAGACACAGCTACGGCCCATATATGTGCATCGGTCCTACATGGTTGCTATCTGATTATAACTATCCATAAAGAACATATTTTTGCAGTTGCTTAATGTTGCTGAAAAGAAACAAGTAAATATTTTCCTTTCCATGTGTGGATGATGGGTAAGTTGGAACTCCAGACATATTTCAGATGTTAGCTATTTGGCCCCCACCACATTCTTCTAAAACTTTGTATGTCATTGTGCACCCAAACTCATCTGTATGTAGACTCTTACTTTTTGAACATTGACACTTGGGTTTGGCATTCGTTAAATGCATGTGGCCTTGTAAGGCTTGGCTTACCTGCAGGCTATTGAAAATGACGAAGAGAACCAGCATCCAGAAGTGTCGGTAGGCCATATGCAGTCCTCCCCAAAGCCATGTCACAGAAATCAGAGCAAAGAGGTATAAAATCAGAGGAATTTCTGGAAAACATTAAGAAAACAAGAAAAAAAAAAAACTGAGGTTCGGAATACTGCATGATCACACCCGAACACAGAATTATTTTGGCCTCCTTTTTGTGGTGGGTGGTGTCTATCCTAACACCCATCCAGAGAGCAACCTAGGAAATCCTTCTGCTGCGTGGAGAAGAGAAGGTACAGCCATATAGTTCCTGGTTTTCAAATAGGTCTGCTTGTCACTTGGGGAAGGGGAAGGAAGAGATTTGTCCCTGCCTAGGCTACCACCTGCTGGACTGTGTGGGAAGCAGCATAGACAAGTACCATGCTCCCCAAATTTCCTTAAGAGTGAGGGGTGGCCTGAGCTCCCCAATGAGCATGCTCCAACGCGGCACTTAAATTATAAGCTTTAAAGTTTTTTGTGTGATCCCTGAGATAACAAAACGTATTGTGAAGGTTCAGAGTGGAGATGAAGGGACTAACTCACAGTTACCAGCAGGGAGCATTGGAGCTGCCCATCAGGCTCTCCTGAAGTTGTTTAACGGTTTCCATATAAAGTGCCCCGCACAAAGGTCTCCAAGCCACAGGGGCGCTAACATATTCTTTTTGTTACTAGTTTTGTGTGTATGTGAGGGTTTTGCCTGCATGGATGTCTATGCCTCACTTGCAGGGAGAGCCAAAAGAGGGTGTTGGATCCTGTGGAACTGGGGTTACAGACAGTGGGGAGCTACCATGTGGGTGGTAGGAATTGAACCTGGGTCCTCTGGAAGAGCAGGAGTGCTCTAAACAATTGAGGCGCCTCTTCAGCTCCTCTGACGGTGGTTTTCAAGATGGATTGATTCTGGGTCACAGGACTCGACTGTCATCTCCACTGTCTCCTTTGATTTTGGGGTGGGGAGACTGTTTGAATTCTCAAATGTCTTCACAGAAGAGCTCTTAATCGTGATATAACAGTCTATGTGCAATTTAGAAATTGAATGAGATCTTAAAGCAGCCATAAATAAATCTATGTTGAAGCTATTGAAAGGCATTAGGACAGACTCTCAGGACAGGCCAGATGACCCACCAGAAGCACAGAGAGTCCTCACCCTGTGTGGGTTTGAATAGTTACATACGATTTTAGCAATTTAAAATTTCCCTTTTGTTCTGAAACAACCTCAAGCTAACAGAAGAATTGTAAGGACAGTGTGGTGACAAGGCCTTGTGGGCTTAAAAAGTCTGGAAGTTGCCAACCTCTCCAAATACTATGATTTGCATTTTCTATGCCAACATTTTCCTCTATAGACACAGTTTCCAAAACCATGAAGGCAGCACTGGAACATTACCAGCACCTTAAAGTTCCATTCGGTTATTATTTTTAATTTTTGTTATTATTTGTGTATGAACATATGTGCTTTGTGTATTTTTATATGTATATATGTATACATGTATGTATGTGTGTGTGTATTTTGTGTGTGTGCCTGAGTAAGGGCACATGCTTGTCACAGCATATGTGTAAGCCAGAGGACAACTTTCAGGAGTCGATTCTCTCCTTTCACAGTGGGTTCTGGGGATCGAACTCAGGTCATCAGGCTTGCGTGGCAAGCACTTCTCCACACTGAGCTCCCTCACAGACACCATTTAGCTATTCCAACAGTTCCCTCCGTGTGGAACAGCCAGCACCGTACAGCTGACATCTCCGTAATCCCCCTAACCAAAACCGTTGAGAAAATCTTGGAATTTGACATTTGTGTTGATTCCAGGTAGTTTTTCTTATAGAGTACGGTAATGGCGAGCTTTATATTTCAACTTGACTCGATTTAGAATCACGTGGGGAGAGATTCTCAGTGAGAGATTAGTCATATTGGGTTGGTCTGTGTATGTTTCCATGGAGATGTGTCTGGATTACTAGTGTCAGAGGATGTGGGGAAGACCCAGCCCACTCCTGGTGGCGCCATTCCCAAGGCAAGGGGCCTGGACTGTATCCGACAGTGGTCTCAACCCTCCTAATGCTGCAACCCTTTAATACAGTTCCTTGTGCTGTAGTGACCCCAACCATAACATTATTTTCGTTGCTACCTCCTAACTGTAATTTTGCCACTGTTATGAATCGTAATGTAAATCTCTGTGTTTTCCAAGGGTCTTAGGTGACCCCTGCGAAAATGTTGCAACCCACAGGTTGAGAACCACTGGTATACAAGTAGAGAAATGAAGCTGAACACAGGAAAGCAAGTAAGCAGGTGAGCATGGGGATGTGGTGTGAGCAGCTGTCTTAAGTGCCTGCCACCTTTATTTCCTTACTAGGATAAACTGTGGGCTAAAATAAACCCTTTCTCCCCAGCTGCTTTTAGTTGGGACATTTTATCCCAACAACAGGAATGAAACCAGAACAAGGACCATAGTTTTTGGTTTTATTTTTTTTCCATGTTTAGATTTGAACTGTAAATGTAGGCATCGCAAGTGATAACACAGGAACTCAGCTTGTCCCGTTAATGAAGATGCTCATTCTGGTCACTCAAGTCTGGGAGGGTTGCAGAGAGTCTCTGCTAAAATTAGCCTCCTCTAAGAGGAGAGCCTTTGTAATTAAAAAGTATCTTGTGTGGCATTACTTGGAAACTATGTAAATGATCTTTTCACTACCAAATATTTAGTTTATTCACTTTTATAATATGGACGCAGGGATTCCTATTGTATTTAGGGGTCTATCATTCATTAATATTTATTTTGCTGCCTAAATCGCCCCTAGTTGGAGCTCTCTCCAGGTGGCTTCTGTGTTGTTCCCTGTGTCCTCACCATTCTATTGGCACTTGCTAAGTTATGGGTCCAAGATACTTTAGACATTCTCTACACTAGTTTTGGTTTCTTTTAGGATACAATAGTATTTGGATACCATGATCTGTATGATCTACAGCTAGACATGCTCACTTGCCTTTGGTACTCCTAAGGTGTCTCAGTAGTCAATAGCTATCACACACACACACACACACACACACACACACACACACACTCAATCGTACATGCATTCACTTCCTCTCACACCTAAAGCAGTTTCCTGTTGTACAAGGTATTTATTGATTATAAAGTTTTTCCCGTGGTAGAGGCTAACTTTAGTGGGTAATTTCAGATTAATTTCATGATTCAATGATATTGTTTCTTCTGGTTCTCAGAGGACACATTCTCAGATGCATGTCTGAAAATGTGCATAGTATGTTACGTTTTTCATGTTACATGCTTATGATAATGTTGATGACCCCTGCCTTATCACTTAAAGAAAACACTCCATGGCTTCCCTTTGGTACATTAACATTGCCAGCATCACTGTTCTCGCACTTTTGGGCCACCATTAAGTGTTACTTGAACCCAAGAAGTGTAGTAGTTGAGCAGTCGACCCAAAAGTCGACTGGTAGCTCTTCAGCAGCGAATGGACAGATAGTGCATACAGTGTGGATGCGCTGGACAAAGGGCGACTGTGTCTCAGCCTGTGCAGAACATTACAGCATGACTTAAAACCAGTGAATTGTTCATTCCCAGACTTAGTTTTGGTACAATGGAAAGTGAGAGACTGGGAGGGCTGACAACTTTAAGTGTTCATATCTCTCTAAGTAATGGCATCTCTCAGTTCACATCAATACTTTCACTTGCCAACATCACAAACATTAGTTCCGGTTTTCTCCCTTTCCACATTTTGTGACTGTTCTCTGTCAACGGACAGTCCATTCCCCAACTGTTTTCAGTAATCTTAAATGTTCTATGCACTTCCCTGTATGGATTCCAGCTCCTGATGCTGTCGTCTTTACCCATGTATATAGAGCTTCCAAACTCACTCTGGAGTCTATGCTGCACCCTACTGCTCACTCGAATGACCCTAGCAGTGACTGGGTTCTGGTAGCCAATGTTTGGGTACCCTTTCGTGCATGCATACCTTGCTCTGAACCAACTAGAGGATTTGGGGTGGAACTGTTGAGGAAGAGAAAGGAAAAGAAAAAAGATGTGAGCAGAAAGAGAGACCCACAGCCAAGTACTAGGTGGAGAGAGCCAGGTTGAAGGTCTCCATCTGGTCCCTACCCTCACAGCTCAGAGGAACTTGTACAGAAGAGAGGGAGGAGGAATTGTGGGAGCCAGAGGTGTTGAGACACTAGGAGAGCATGAAACTGAAATGGCAATTGCAGAGCCTGCATGGCCTGACCTAGGTGCTCTGCATATATGTTATGGTTGCTGGCTTGGTGGGTTTTATTTGTGGGGGGAGGGGGACCCCTAGAGTGTGAGTAGGGGTGTCTCTGACTCTTTTGCCTGCTCTTGGGACCTTTTCCCTCCTACTGGGCCAAGCTTTGATGTGAGGGTTTGTGCCCGGTCTTATTGTGTCTTGTGCCATGTTGAGCTGATGTCCCTGGGAGGCCTGGTCTTTTCTGAGGGGAAACAGGGAGTATGGATCTGGGGGAGAGGGAAAGTGGGGGGACTGGGAGGAGTGGAGGGAGGGGAGGCTGTGGTCAGGATGTATTGTATGAGAAAAGAATAAATAAAATTTTTTAAAATGTTATATGTTCAAATACTAAGCAGTTTAGGAAGAATTCACTAGAGAAATAAAATTTCTGCAATTATGTTTAACAAGTTAAATTAACTGATTACTAAAAAATCACCAACTTCTTTGTGAATAACATTTCATATCATTAAATCAATACTATTTAATTTTTTTAAAAAGCAAACAAGAAAAAGAGAAGTTGCAAGAGGTAGAAAAATCAGATTTATTTATAAAGAGAGAGGCCTTAGCAGAGGGCTTTGCTGATATTTTGCTTAGATATATATACTCATATAAACCATCTGAATTATTATAACTTCTAGGGAAAATAAGATAATATAAAATACATTTATATAGATGAATAATTCTTTTTCCAATAATGTCTTGCAGCTAAACAAGAGAGAATATGTTCTGATTTAAATTTTAACCAAAGTTCTTTTATTTTCTCAATGAAATCCTTCTCAGTTAAAGAGTCAGAAGGCCCCGATGAGCCTAGGCAGCTGCTTAATTGTCAAAGATTTATCATCAACTC